ATATATATATAATCACAATGTTTTTTTTTTCTTTTGACAGGGAAAGATCGCAAGTTTAAAAAGTCTAATTATGAAAAAGTTAAATTCGATTGAACTCATAATACATTCCTTAAAAATGGTTATCTTTAAATAGTAATAAAATTTAATTGTTTATTCAATCCTTTTTATTATTAAGGTGATATCTATGAAAAACTTATTATATATCTGTATAATATGTATGCATTTTTAATTTTATATGGATATATATATTTATTTGTAGCAGTTTTTTTATTTGAACATAAATTATTTTTTTTTGTAATATTTTTTTTGTGGTATACGGGCCGGCCCACCAGCCCGCTAGCCCGTCCTTAGGCGGGGCAGACCAGCTATCCCAACCTGTTTTCTATTGGCGGCCAAACCTGGCCCGGCCCGATCCATTTTTGGCAAGCCGGGCCAAAATGGGCCGGACTGACCCGTTTTGCCACCCCTAGATTTTGGGATGAACCAAGTAGAAGCTGGTGAGCTTGTAATAGCTCAAACACACCAGAATGAAAGGAATTCAAAGATTTGTATATGTGTGAGATTGTACAATTGAGGATGACTTAAAAGAATTAATTAGTACTAACTATACCAACAAGATGCATCTACTTTTCAAAGCTTATCACTTAATTCATAATTAAGTGTGCTTGACTTAGAGTTATTTAGGGATAGGTGACTTTCTAAGAAGTTTCCTATAGTGAGTGACTAATGGTTGCGTTGTTCTTGATTTTCAACAAGTCAAACAATTAAACACGGGAAGCTTCACGGGTCGTATCATTTCTTTTTTATTTTCTTTTGTTGAAATCGGATAGATTTCATTAGGAGATTTTGTAACTCTTTGTAAGAAAGGTGTATCTCAAGACAAGGTTTCTTGAGTCTACAGGTTAGAGTAGGGTTCTCTAATTAGAACTGTAGGCAAGGGTTTCTATTGGGTGGTAATAGGAATGCCTATGTGTGGAGAAAAGATAAATATTAGAAGGGGGTTTAAATAGTGTGTATCAAAAGCATGTACATTTTTCGTAGTGAAGTAATAATGCTAGTTAGATAAAATGCAAAGAGTAGTTAGATGGAACACTGGCTATTTTGATATTGGTTCGTGTTAACCATTGAGGCTACGTCTAGTTCTTAAACCAACTAGATTGAGTTCCAATATCTTTAAATAAAGATACAAATATTCTTTCAACAAACCACTTCTGACTCAATATTAAGTATTCTTTGACTTGTCTCTTCAAGAAATTACCTAAGTATTCTTTTCACAACAAGCCTCTCCAAGCTTAACAACTAAGTATTCTTTTATAGTTAAGCCTCCCTAGGATATTCAAACAAGTATTCTTTTATAGTCAAGCTTACGCTTCAAACAAATATTCTTTTATAGATAAGCCTCTCCAGGCTCAACCTTATAAAAATGGTTATAAAGGTAACATAAATGTTGTGTTCGTCTCACTTAGACGTTATACAACTAGTATAGAGTAAATATTTTTACAAGAAAGAATGAAGCTTATACAAGCATGATTTTCAAAGTGCGTTTCTTCGTGTATGTTTTTGTACAAATCTTTTCTTCATATATGTTCTCGTC